ATTTTGAAAAAAAGAAAGATAAAATAAAAAGAATAAACTAAAAATTATAAAAAATTTATTAACTAAATATTATGATTCAATTTTTTTTCAATTTAACATTTTAAAATTTTTCTAAAAATATTTTATCTGTAAATATATGTACATGAAATTATTAAGTCCTTTTTTTTCTCTAAAATAAAAAATTAATAAATAATAAATTAAATAAATAAATAAATTTTCTAAAATTAAGTATTGATTAAAACAAGAAAAAATCATTTTTTTTATATTATTTTATAATTACTATATTATTGATTAATAATATGAAATATCAATAATATTATTAATAATGATAAAATAATATGATTAATATCATTAATTTATGTGTATATTATTAATTTATATTTATATTTAAAATTTCTTTTACTTTGGTATTTGAAATAGAAAAATATTAGCTAAAAAATGTAAAATTTGTAATTTGAATATAAAAAGTAAATTATTTTTAAAAAAATAAGAAATTATTGAAAAATTATTACGCAATTTGAATATACAATATTGAATATACAATAAATATTATATAAAGTGTTCAAAAATTTAAGAAGCAATTTTTCACATCAAAAAGATAATTTTAAAAAATAAAAAAATTACACTTTTAAATATTTTAATTATTGATATCAATTAAATTAAAAAATTATAAAATATTTTTGAATTCAAACAAACTTGTACATAATTTTAACAATAGGTACAAATCTTATCTCATGAAAAGAAGATTATATATATTACATTATAATATATATTATATTTACGTTTTAAATGAATTTAATAGAAAAATAATATCTTTATATTATATAAAAATAGTATACATTGGATAAATATTTTCTGTAAAAGATCTAAAATCTTTTTTTCTTTCATTTCTTTGGATCTTTAAAAAAATTCGATATATGTATGTATTATTGGATTAAATCATATATTTATGTATTTATGAATTTAGAGATTCAATCTTGTAGGATTTATTAGGTTAAAATCTATTATATTTATAAAGAAAATTAAATAAATATATAATAAATAGTAATATAATTTAAACTATTTCTTTATAATTTATAAACCAATAGAGTCTCTAGCTAAATAAATTTATGTAAGGATTCAAGATTTATATTTATATTTTTTTTATATTATTATTATATATTACTTTTACCATTATTTATATATTACTATTTTTTATTTTATATTATTCAAAAGTTTTCTAAATTTTACTAATTTTAATTATCTTAAATTTGTTATATTAATATTTGTTATTTATTGTTATTATTTATTTATTTGTTATTAATTAATTTAAAGGT